CCAAGCTCGAGCAGAGTCCATTAAAATGCTGAACTAAGGCAGCTTTTGACTTCCAGAAAACAATAGCCAATTCTCAGTGTTGTTTGAGTACAACAAAGCTGACACCATCTGTCTCCCTGCTTGGCCTAGGACAGAGAACTGTGGTAAACAAGTGTCACTAGGCTACCTGGAGATGACTTGACAAACCAACCCAGCACACATGCTACAGTTCTTGATTTCAGCCAGGGCTCTCCAGCTCAGAGGAAGATTAGACCTTGAACTGTGTTCAGGAAATTACAGCTGTTCAAATGACCTGGCAGCTTAATTCACTTTACTGTGAACCAGCTCTCATAAAAACAAACCTTGTATTCAATTGTATAAAACCACATAGTAAGTTAAATAGGCAATTACATTATATTTAATAAAAACCCTTTTAGGAAGGCAAGTTTCTATTGCCAGCAAGAACCTGAGCAATGAAGTGGATCCTTACCCTCATGGTAATAGCAACAGCCATTTCCTGACTCCATAGACTATCCCACTGCCCTTGGAGCAGGGATTCACATGCCCTGGTCTGTGAGCCTTCTTCCTGGATGTTTCAAAAGATCTGAAAACTCTTTTGACAATGTAGGAAGTTTTAGCAGATGCACTGTCCATCTCATTTTCCCTCCTGATGCCTGTTTGCTGTAACCCCTTCACTGTTTCTTTTGCTCAGTTCGATGTCGGTGTCACGCTTGGAGCCAGATTTGCAAGCCAGGATCCGAGACAGCAGCCCTGGCCTAGAACGTGTATACTTCAATAAAGGATTATAATTCAAGGAAGGCAAAGTATCTTTCAAGGAGAAACTTATAAACTTATTTTTTGAATTGTGTGCCAACCTAGACAAGAACACAACTTTATCTTGTCCTTTTGTTAAACAAGTTTGATCATCTACCATTATTTTACAGTTGAAAGACTTTTTTCAGTATAGTGTTTAAATTACGTAAGGTCACTTTGTCCACTTTGGTATTGTTTAAAACATTAAACATACACATATCCAGAGATGTTTACATAAGTCTCAAGCAACTACAATAACAATAAAGAAGCGCACAATGAAAACCAGATGCTATTATATTGGATTTGCCACCTGTTCCAGTAATAGCGGGGCAGGGACCTCCTTTTGAAAAGTCATAGAGCAACTGAACGAAGTTGCCAGCCTCTGGTAGCCACAGTACGGGTGGCTGAACGTGTCAGGATGTTGTGCAGGAAGGGCTTTTTGCCAGGAGGCTGACTGGGCTGCAGGTTTTCCCTGTTGGCACAGAAGCGTTTCTTGAGGGCGGACGTTGGCGGCGCCTGCAGCTTCTGCACCGTGTGGTACTGCTCAGCAATGCAGGCCGCCTTCTTGCGCAGGTCCAGCTTCACCAGCATCATGTTGTTCTGCAGCTCTGCCAAGGTCTGGTCCTGAGGAAGCCAAGGCAAGATATAGTTATATAAAAATATCAAGAAATCATATCATAGAAAAGCCCATTCCTAGTTGGAACTGACTGGATTAAAGATCCACTTGTTCTCTGTTGTGGACAAGGGATGGGTTTTACTAGACCAGCTTGCTCCAAACTCTGTCCAACTTAGCCTTAAAACACTTCCAGGGATGGAGCAGCCACAACTTCTCTAGGAAATGTATTTTCAGTGCTTCAGCATCCTCACAGTAAAGAATTTTTTATTAACATTTAATCTAAACCTCAGTAGGAAGCTATTCCCTCTTGTCTTGTCATTCTCTGCTCTTAGAAAGAGAGTCCCTCTCCAGCTTTGTTATAGGCTCCCATCAGGTACAATGATAAGTTGTCTTAACACCCTGGTTACTAGGAACTGAGGAGGATAAACTGCCTTTTGCCAAAATTCACTAACTGTTCTGCTAAATAAGACCATGCATAAAAGCTTCTACTGTCAACAGCGTAGCAGTTCAGCAAAACTAGTAGGAACAGTAAGGGTGGGACAAAGCTGACTCCATCCTGCTGCAAATATGCTGCCATAGCAGCTGTGATGGAGTGAATAAGAAAATGAGAAATCTGAATTTTCCTACTTCAAATGCAGGCTGCCAGTTAACTGAACGGGAACAATTTGAGTCTCCTGTGAAGAGAAATGCTCAACTAACTCAGCCATTGAAAAAAATCAGCCATAGAGCTCCCTTCACAAAATATGTACCAGCAAATAAAAAACAGTTTTATTTGCAGCAGCAAGAACTTTGGTTGCTGTGATTATGGCAAAGCACACAGACTAGACCCCTCTCCCCCATGCAGCCCACACCAGAGCAGACACATCACCTGTCTTGCCAGGATGTCATCACACACGCCCAGGGCTTCTCGCAGCTTCCCTGCCCCTGTGCTGTGGCAGCACGCCCGCTCAGCAGACTGGAGAGACTCCCCAATTTTTTGTAACTCTGAACGCAGCATTCTGATGTTCTGAAAGAGAGGGGTTTAATGCAACAGCTGATTTTGGCACTGCTCTGCAAACAAAGCCACTCCAAGGTAACTCAGACAAGCAGCACTGAAGGAGGATCCCATCTAAGTGATCACATCCTACATCCTTCAACAACTTAAGTTCAACAAATCCATTTCATTGGTTTAAAAACCTGGAAACAGCAACCCCAAATTCTGTTTTAAGCTGGCAACCACTTTGCCCTGCAAATGTTCTTTTCTGTAACACAGAACTAGAGTTACCTTCTGCCCATCCTCCAGCTTCCTGTCCACATCCATAGTAATGGGTTTCGCAGAGGGAGGTGGCTCCACTAATTTCTGGTACTTGTGCAACTCTAGGAACAGACAAAAAGTAGTGAGCAACAGGACAATGCTCAGCTTTCAGTATTCCTGAAATTCAGGACTTCCCTTGAGACAAGCCGCCACAGGCAAGCTGGAAAGAGCTTTTGAGTTTGTGCAGAAAGGCACAAACATTCCAGGCTTCCCCCATTCACTTAGACAAAGGGGCTTAAGAATTTGAATGGAAAGATTATCCTGTCCTAAAGTCCATTTTCCTGTGAAAATGAAGTGAAACTGTCCATCCAGCACATTATTCCTGTCATCTACAAGTCAAATAATGTTTTGAGGGTGTCTAAATCCAATGTACCCTGAAGGTCTCTCTAACCCTGCAGAGGGATCTCTCACAGCGTGGTTCAGAACCGGTGCAGCATTGCTGCTGTACCTGCACGTGTGGAATTCAACTCCTTTTGACACTGCTCCAGCCTGGCTTTGGTGTCTGCCAGCTCCTGCTGCAGAGCAGACGAGGTGGCCACTCGCTTGGATCGACGTACACTCTGCTCTGAGTCCTTTTCCTCAGTATCCAGGCTCTCCAGTTTTTGTTTGGTCTCCTGCAGAGCAGCTTTGAGCTCCGAAATCTCCTCATCACACTCCTGAGAAAGGAAGTTTGTTCAGAGAGTCAACAAGATTTTCATAGCACAACTTGTCTGAAACGTTCTATGTCTTTATTCCTGAAGAATTTCTCAATCCTACACTTCACACATTGAACCCAGCCTTTAAGGTTACTTTTAAGCAAGTACAGCAAACCCACTTCCTGGGAGCCTAAACCACTTTTTTACAGGCTCTAAAGAAGAAGGATTGTTCTGGGAGTTGGCATCTTCAGAGCAGTCTGCAAGAAGTCCTAGAGGTCACCCAAGTGCTGTAGGCATGAAAATACAAACAGGTCCATACCCATCATCACAACTGAGAGCAAGAAGAGAAATTCACACAACTTGTGTGAAGCTGAAGAGCCCAAATCAAGCCACCAATGGAAAGAGTAAGCGGGGAAGAGAATCATGTTGAACAAATGGACAAGTCAGGACAGTTGTACATTAGCTTCCAGATGGACTGTTCAAAATTAGGAAGCCTAGTGGGCTACATAAAGTAGAAGAAGCAAAAATTGTAAATCGAGAGATGAAATAATATCACAAAAAAAACTCAGAAAGCAAAATCTTTCTTTTCACTTTGCATAAAGATCTTCCTGGACTCAAGTACCCAGAGTCCCCTCCTAGCCCACTGCCACTTTCCTGATGTCATTGCATTGCCCTGAACAAACCTGCATCTTCTCCTGGTAGTGGTCAGTCAGTAACTCCTTCAGGATGGTCATTTTACCCTCATACAGTTCCTCCAGCTCCTCTCTCTGAGCATCCATGTGCTGGCTGCAGAGAGAACAACCAATTCCATGTCAGCATCTGGCAGCCCTTGGTGCTTCAGCTCATCCTGGGCAGAGGGAGCGAGACCAGCACAGGCTGTACCTCCACCACTGCTCCTTCTGTTGCATGTGCTCCAGCATCTCGTTGCAGATCTCCTCACGCAGGCGCATCTCGAGCTCCAGCTTCTTCTGCCGCTCCTGCACCAGCAGCTCTCGTGCAGCTTCGGCCACGCGCAGCAAATCCTGCAAGAGGGACACAGCTCTGCTGCCCACGCTGCACAACAGTTAAGACCTGGAGTAAACTAAGTGATCCCATGTCTGCCAGATGCAGTGATCTAGATTTAAGGGTTTAGTCACTTGGAAAGAAAAGTTGCCAGGGTTTGCTACCTTGACACATGACAGCTTGAGTCTCTGTAGGGATATGATTTCATCTTAGTATTTCAGCTATCCCTGCTGCCTACTTTACCTAGCAAGTTTGACTTTTTTTTTCCCCCCATTTAGATTCCTGTTCTGCATGTTTTCTAGATTTCCCTTGCAGAGAAGGAATTACAGATCTGCACCTGCACTGTTACTGCCACTGTTCCACAGATGACACGGTACTTTCAAATTCAGCATGTGTGTCAGATTTAGACCAACTGCAGAAAGTTTTTTTTCAAGGATTCCCAATTTTCTGGGTCCTTTTTCCTTCTGAGGTTCTATGTCATCTCTCTTGGCTCTTTCTGAGCTCCAATCTCAGTCCCCCAGGCCAAAGCTAACATTCATGTTCTTGTCCTTGCATTCACATAAAAGCTGTAAAATCACAACCCACCTTCTTCTCATACGTAGAGACATCTGCCTCATCCTCAGTGTCTTCTTCTGATTCCACATCTTCCTCTGGCTCTGCCTCTGGACCCCGGCTGATTCGCCTGCTGTGTTCTTTGATGATGGATTTTAAGGATGGAAGTTCAAGCTTTGTAGGAGGTGCCTGAACAAGCTGAAGAGGAAAAGACCACCATTATCAATCTGCAAAGCCTGGAAGTTGTGTAGTCTTTAAATATAGCCCCTCTCTGCAACCTGTCAGCCATTTCAGTTTAGCAGAATCTGGAAATACTCAGGAGGTGATAACCACTAGAGAAGCATAGGGATGTGGTACAAGCATGGCCCCTTCTTCCTTGTGGTGGGAAGGGGCCAAGTCCCACAGAAGCAGGAGAAACCCAAGCTACCATGACCATGCCATGATCCTGCTGTGTGTTACTCACCTGGCTGGCAATGGCTGAGAACTTGGCTACGTACAGAGTCTCATCATAGGTGGAAGCACACTGGTTGATGTTGACAATCATGCAGGAGCGCCCGCGCCCCATGAAGAAGCCCTGGAACACACGGGTCAGTTTGCTGTCCCGGAACGGAACCACCGCCTGCTTTGTCCTGTGGGAGAGACAGCAGTGAGCTGGGAAAGCAAAAAAAAAAAATCCCCCACAGCCTCCCTCCCTCTGGAGGAGTGGATGCTCACCTGGCCTGCTGGTTCTGGCGGAGAGCGGCGATGCAGCGGCCCAGGGTGTGCAGGGAGGTGTTGATGTTGTTGGCTTCTTTCATTCGCTCCCCACTTATCTGGTCCTTGCAGCGCTCGGACCCCGCCAGGTCACACAGGGATAGCCTGAAGGAAACACAGGGATATTCACATCACTTAAGGGTTTGTCCTGCCATATCACATTTACAGTTCAGACACCCTGCAGTCACCTTACCAGCTTCCTCATAAAGGTACAGACCATTCTTTTGGGGTGCCTGGGCTGTTGATGGATGAAGGGCCTGCCCTAAGCGTAGGTGTTACACAAAGTAACAGGAAAATGAACTTTGAAGTGTCAACTTCAAAAATCCTTTGCCAGTGCTCAGAAGAGCCACTTTCCAGATAAACACGCCCCAGGAACAGGGACCAGCAGCACTCAAATCAGCCCTGCTGCAAGGGTAAAGATGCTCACATTTACCTTCACTCAAAAAGCCTGAGAACTACCTCAAGTTGTACCTTGCACTACTCCTCAAACTCCTGTCAGTTCCAAGACTTAGTATTTATTCCTTCCAAGTACTTTCAACAACACCATCATCAAGATGCTTCCCATACCCCAGGCCCTTAACCAAAGAGACAAGAAAGTTGAGATTACACCCAAATCCTAAAAAACATGAAACTTACTCGCTGATTTTGGGAACAACTTCACTGCTACCTCTTTGCAAGTGCAGAATCCGAATGGAGAATACACTGTGACTGTAAAGAAAACATGCAAATGTTAAAAAAAAAAAAACACCAAACAACTTTAAAAGCCCTTCAGAATTGTATTTCTGCCTAAACAATCCCTTTCCCTTCAGACCTGCGACTGGAGTTCTGGTTCATGTGGGTGCTTGCAAAACTCTGGTTTTTCCGACCCAGTTTTAGGAGCTTCCAGGCCTCATCAGCATCCCGAACATTGATCCAGTTCAGATCTGGAAAGCAAGCATGCATTAACCACAGCAGCTGGGAGACTGAAAACTTATCTCAGCCCCAACTTCACCATTGCATATCCTTGACATCAACAAATTTGACAATCCTGTAATCCTGACATCAGAGCTCTCTGTGAGGCTTTCCAGCACATCACTGCTAAGCCACCCACCCACTGAGCCCTAAAAACCTTCCTAGCAGGCCACTAAAGCTCTCCCGCAGGCAAATCTACCTTTCACATAGGGGTTGCCAGTCTGGTCCTCGCAGAGCCGCAGTGTTTGCCGCTTGCGGTTCTGCCCAGGTAGAGCTGGTTCTAGCAAGTCATAGATTAATTCATTGTAGATCTCAAAAAAAGAGACCCAGATGGAGAACTGCACATCTCCTGTGCTGGTGAGTGAAATGTGATCCAAGTCAGCCCAGCAAGGGCCCAGTTCTGAAGAGAAAAAAAAAAGGAAAACAAATCATGACTGCTGCTTTTTGTGGGACCAACCAAAATGGTTTAGCTCCAGATCAAGATACTTCCTTCAGCAAGCAAAACCACCCCAGACACAAATCCTTTTATTTACTCCCTCCCATTTGCAGCTGTTCTAATGCCTGTCCCCAGTGAGACAGCCTGAAATTTCCTTTGACAGTATCACCTGCTCTGTGTAAGGACTTTTATATACTCAGTTTTGATTCCAGAATTACAAGATATTTCAAACATGAACCCTTTCCAGCATAACTGAAGTTTTTTAGTCCTTGTTATCTCAATCACAGTAGCTGGGTTTGGTAGATAGAGCACAAGTGCTTAGTGCAGCCTGCCACTTTGGCATCCTGCTTCCCAGCAATCCCCATCTCACAGCAATCAGCTGCTCAATAACCACATTCCTTGAATGAAGTGAGTGAATGTTAAGCAATTTTTCATTTCACAAGGCTTGGTTGTTATGGAGTGGTGAATTCTTCTGATATTGGCATAATATATGCACAGAGTACTTCTGACATGACATCTTTCAAAGGGAAAATCTGAGGCCACAGCACCTTTGCTCCCTTACCCATAACACAGCATCCAAACAGCCATCACCCTTTGCTTCCCCCATCCTCCAGCAAAAAGAAGCAGGTAGCACACAACAGGCTTCCAAAAATACCTTCTGTCTGGCTGAGGTCTGAACGGTTGGTGAGTTGGCTGGATGAAGACAAACCAGCAACTCCACTGTCAAAACTGCCACTGGTGGTGGCCTGGAGCTGAGATTCAGCACTGTGACTCCTCTTCAGCGGCGTTTGCAGCTCCTCCTTGAAGGAAACAAGGAACAGGAGCGTGCAGGTAGCATGACACCACCCCTTTCCTCTTGCTACTGATCCCCCAGAGGCTCCGTGCTTACCTCCCAGAGACCCCTCTGCAGCATCATCTGCTTCTTGGTCTCCTCCTGGCGCACCTGCCTGCTGTCCAGCCAGGTCACCTCGTTGGAGAGGGCAGGCTTCAGGTCCATGGCCTGGTACAGCTGGTCCCCCACACTGTTGAAGATGGTTGCCAAAGAGCGAGGCAGAATCCCCCCATCTTGGGTGGTGCCTGCAGCAAGAACAGCAGCAAAGCTGAGGATTTAGAGGCAGAAAACAAAAAACAATTCCTTCAACAGGCCCCACAGCACCTGGTGCTTTCCTTACCCTGAATCGTGTGAGTCTTCCCTGAATTGGTGATGCCATAGGTGTAAACCAAACAGTTCTGCCCACTCAACACATCCTTTACCACCTGTTTCATTGTCTCATCAAAGAACGATTTCTGCCCCACCTCTGGTCCAAAAATCTACAAACAAGACACAAGAAAAACAGCTTAATATAGATCTTTCCTATCCTTTGCTGGTGGTTGTTCAAGTGATATTACATGGTCCTTTATTCCCTGCACTAGCTGTGAGCAAGAGACTCACCAGCAATTCCAGCTGAGTGGGTCGCTCTTACAAACATAAGGTTCTCATTTGTTTAATCTAATAACATCTCACATCACTGCAGTCCCTAGTCTGCTTACAGCCTCATGAACTGTTTGCCATTTGCTGCCAAAAAAGAGTTGTCAGAAACAGCTTAGAAAGAAATAATAAAACAGCAACTAAAACCTGAAGTAACCTGATTTCACAAGAGTTCAGGCAGCACCTTGGGGTCAGTGGATGTGTACAAGGCTGCTTTTCAAGCTGCAGGGCTGGTTTAAGCTCAAATCACTTCCAGATGGGCTGTTTGTCCCAACTACCTACCCGGGTGAAAGAGAATCTGTGCACTGCTTGTCCCACTCCTCGCTCCGTGCTCCGCATGGTGAAGGAATTCTTTGGAGCTTTTAGAATAAGGGTTTCTGAGTTCTCAATACAGACACAGCCCTAAAGAACACACAAAATCCATCACTGCAGTGGCTTACAGGAGGATAGACAGCAAAGGACAACAGCATCTCCCAGCAGGCACACAGCCAGCTCAGACTCTACTTCATTCAGTGTCTCACCTGGTCTTCCCCTTTTTCTACTTCTGTAGATTTCAGAGGTCGAACTCTGAGGTAGACCTTTAATTTTCCATTATTGTCTTCAGCTACAGCCTGCAAGAATCAGCACAAATTTAATATGGCAGCCAAAGAGGCAGCACACAACCCCCCATGGGAACACTTAACAGGAACCACAATATGGAACACACATGTTGGCTATGCTGCTACTGCTGAGGCATTTCTCTGGTCCCAAAGTCACCAACAATGCCAGAAGCTTCCTTAGGCATTTCCAAGCACACCACTTTTTTTTTGTTGTTTGTTTATTTATCTAATGGATCAGACTAACAAGCCAAAGGCCTAACACCAAAACCAAGCATCACCCCAAGAGGCACTCACTGCCCACCACTCTACCAGGAACTGCTCCCCCCAAATGCAGCATTCTGTTCCTGCCTCTTCTGAAGAATCTGCTTTTCCTGCATCACATCACCTTTGTACAGGGAACAGCAGCCACGAGTGAAAACGCTGCCCTGTTTGTGACAGAAGAGCTTCCAACCTCACCTGAGAGCCCTCGAGGTTTGGGGAGATGGCGGAGAACTCGGGCAGCAGGTCCTTGCGCAGGTCAGCCCCAAAGCCCGCTGCTGTGGACTCGAGCACAGGGGAGGCTGCAGCCTCATCGTCAGAAAACAGCCCTGGGGAGGCAAGGGCTTGTGCCATGGTGCCTCACAACACGGCTCCTGGGGAAAGAGGGGCACAGGCCAGGGTGATGTTCCACATCCAGCAGTGCCCACAAACGCGGAGCCCCACGGGGAGCCCTCCCTTGACACACGACGCTGCTTGCAGACGTGCACACATACACACCCCTGCACACGGGGAAACCACACGGGACCCCGGACACAGCCCGTGCACACACAAACACTACCCAGGACTCCAAACCCACCTCCTGGACATACGGACACCATACATGTGACATGCGCACAGACGCCCCTTTAACGCACGGCACCGTAGAGACCAACACCAACCACACACAGGTCACCTCCGAACCCAGACGCAGCTCGTCGTCGGCCCCACACACAGAGCCCAGCACGCCGCGGGGTCCGGCCGCACGCACAGGGACCCGCAGCCACCGCCGGCCGCCCCACTCGCCGCTCCGGCCCCGCCGCCCCTCGCTCGGCGTTTCAAACCTCGCCGCCCGCCCGCTCCACCAATGGGAGCCCGGCATGGGCGCCCCTCGACCAATCAGCGCCCGCTCTTGGGACAGAGGGGGCGGGGCCCCAACAACGGGCCCCCCGCGCGCACGCACACGGCGAGGGGGGGGCGTGGTGGCGCCCGGCCGCCTCCCGGCGGGCTTTGCGCGCGGCGCCGCCCCTGCCACCCTCCGGGCCGGGCGGGGAAGATGGCGGCGGGGCCCGGGAGTGAGTGCGAGGCGAGGCGCGGCGGGCAGCGAGCGGCGGCGCGGCCGGGGAGGAGAAGGGACAGGGGAATGGCCCGAGGAGAACGGAGCGGTTGCGGAGGATCCTCTCGGGAAAAGCCAACGGGGGCGCGGGGTGGGGTGGGGCCAGTGGGTCCGGGGAGGGGCGGGGCCGGAGAGTCCGTGAGGGGCGGGGCCGGTGCGCGCCGCGGGTTCGAGTCCCGGTGTGGCCGGTGTGACCCCGCACACTCCCGCCCTGTCCCGCAGAGCACAAGCTGCTGAGCGCCGGCCCCACCGAGCCCTGGTCCATCCGCGAGAAGCTCTGCCTGGCCTCCTCCGTCATGCGCAGCGGCGACCAGAACTGGTACGGCAGCGGGGGAGGCGGGCGGCGTGTGCACAGCAAGGCTGTCACCCCGCTGCCTCTGTTCAGAACAAAGCTGGGGTGTAAGAGGTGCTGAAGGTGTACCCGGACAGGCACTTTGTTGCTTTCGTAACTACTGTGTAAAAATAGAGGTGTGTTTGTCAAAATAAAGAGCGATGACAGCTGGACAGGGACTCTAGGTAAGGACATGGAGTGTCAGGACAAGGGGAATGGCTTCAGACTCAGGGAGGGAGGGTTAAATTGGGGATTAGGAAGAAATACTGTAAAGATGGTGAGGCACTGAAAAGGGTTGCCCAGAGAAGTTGTGACTCCCCATCCCTGGAAGTGTCCATGGGCAGGGCTTGAAGTAATCTGGGATTAGTGGAAGATGTCCCTTCCTATGGCAGGGGTTGGAACAAGATGATCTTTAAGGTCCTTCCCAGCCCATTCTATGATTCTATGTTCATTATTAAATGAGGTGAGTTGTGGACAACAAAGATATTTGGTAACAGATTCCTGTGCACTGAACCTACAGCTCTGTTTTACTGTATTTTTCTCCTCACTAAAGTAAGGGTTTTGTGGAAATGTAATCACGTAACCAGATGCAAGAAACTTGCTTTTCAAAGCAAAGGAATGAAGTTACTGTTTATTAGAAGCAGGTAACTATTTTTGAGACTTGTACAAGTCTTTGGTGAGTTTATCATGTTTAGCATGGTTATTCAATAACGTAAAGAGAGGTTTTCACCTTTTCTCTGCATGTTGATTGGGGGAGAAGATGAGTTGATGGTGACTTGCCATTTCCTTCCCACAGGGTCTCAGTCAGCAGAGCCATCAAACCTTTTGCAGAGCCAGGACGCCCGCCTGACTGGTTTTCCCAAAAGGTAAGACACTGACATTTGATTCTTGGACACCAAATCTCTGCACAATCAGAAAAGCCATATTGAGGATGAATTTAGGATTAATTGTTCCATGCTTTATCCAGTACACAGTTACTAAGGCTAAGTAAAGAGATCCTTCACCAGGCATGTGATTAAGCTGTGAAATTCCTTAACTCAGGAATTTGTGGATGTGCTTTTATATTGTTGTGTCCTGCTATTTGGGCAAGCAAACTGTCCTCTGACTTCCTTTGTTTCTTCTCAGCACTGTGCATCTCAATACTCAGAGCTCTTGGAGACCACAGAAACCCCGAAGTGAGTACAAAGTCTCACCCCAGCACAGCCTGCAGCAGCTGAGGAGGGACTCGTGCGTTCTTACAGCAAAGTCCTTGTCACTGTTAAATTACTTTCTCCCCCAGCCAACTCCTCCCAAAAGGAGCATTTCAGAATGAGAAAATTCAGGTGGAATAGCTGTTGTGGGCAGGTGTGATCTCAGTTATTTACTGCTCCTAATTCCAGGCATTTTGTCTGGGGACTTCACAGGATATTAACTTAAAGATGGGATGTTTAAAAGTAATATTTGTTTGCGACTGACTTGTTTGTGAGTGATCTTCAGCATTAGAGTTGCAAAGTCAAAGAGCTTAGTAGAGTAGCGAAGAAAAAAATAGATGTTTCTTCCTGTGGAGAAAATAATTTTTTCTTGAAGTGGAAGGATTGTTTTCAGGTTGAGAATCTTTAGTGGACTTGCATCTTTGATCTGTTCCTGAAGATGTTAACGCTGGGTGATTTAGCAAAAATTTGCTGAAGAGATTGTTTGAACATTGTGCTAATGTAATTTAATGGATAGGAGGAAGTTGGTTTTTTTTGCATGCACATGTCATGGATGACAGCAAACAGCCATTTATGAAAGAGGAATTGAGTTTTCTTGTGGTGTTTTCTCTTATTCTGTAGAAGAAAACGTGGTGAGAAGGGAGAAGTTGTGGAAACAGTGGAAGATGTTATTGTGCGGAAACTGACTGCAGAGCGGGTTGAGGAGTTGAAGAAAATTATTAAAGAAACACAGGAAAAATACAGGTACATGACAGAGGTGTAAAATGTTGCACATCTGAGAGTCTTGTCCTGAAGAAGTAGTCCAAGTGGGATGGTGATTGGGGTGAAAATGCTGCTTAAGGTGTCCAGTTCAGTGATCAAAAAGTAAAAACGTTTTATGATTACAGGCAACTCAAGAAGGATGCAGAGCTGATCCAGGCCGGACACATGGATAACAGACTGGAGGAGCTGTGCAATGAGATTATGATGTGGGTTATTTCATTATTTCTTCTGAGATTGTAGTTTCATGACACTGTTTGTCCAGCATCTCTTGTCCCGCATAGTTTGGGTTAAGAGAAATGCCCAGCTGGGCAGATGCTTTGGCCTCTGAGGGGAGACTTGGCTTGGACTGGGGGATACTGGCTGGTGTGGAATATCCTTTGGAGTTACTCAGTAAAGAGCTTGGCCATGGCTTGCAGAACCATGTGTGCTGCCACCATTCTGACAGTTACCTGGAAGTGAAATTTCCTGCCCAGTGTGTCATTCTCTGGCTCTGCTGCATGCCTTGGGGGATTTGAGCCTGAGTCCACAGGAGTGGTTTGATGTTGTGTGGAGATAACAGGGGCATCAATAAAAGGCATTTTGAAGGGGGAATTAAGGGGAACTAAGACAGCCTGTGACAGCAGGTTTTTGTTCTTTGTACAGAAAGAAAAAATTGGAAGAAGAGGAGGCAGAAGTCAAGAGGAAGGCTACAGATGCTGCTTACCAGGGTAAGCTGGAAATGAGGTGCCTTCGTTTTCCTCACACTAATGCATATATTCATAAGAACATTTAGAAAATACTGAAGTCTTGTTAAGACCTGCAGGAGGAATTACTTGACCCTAGAGTTGGAGAGAGAGGCTGTATTCTCTTTCTAGCACTATATTTGTAACAGGATAAAAGGCAGAGGCTTCTAGAAAAGGAATAAAGTCTTCAGGAAAAGTGTATCCATGGGAAAGCAGGATTAGTAAGGAGCTCCGTGTTAGAATGTCAGACTTTTCACACATTTAGTTTTCCCTGGTCACTGAAGAAAAAAGGAAGAAACTTTTATTCTGAATATTTAGTTTTTCATACCTCTTGGAGCATTTAATTTGGTGATGGGAGGGGATAAATACCCAACTGCTAAAGAAACCCACAGCTGGAGTGCATTACACAAAGTTAGTATTATTTGGGAACTGGTCCTAGTGGGGTGCAATTCCTAAAACATAAATTGATCTCTTAAAATTCTTCAGAGGTAACTCTTGGGGGCTGCCCACAATGGAGTCACAGAATCTCAGTGTAGTTTCTGTTCTCTTCCAGCTCGCCAGGCCATTAAGAACCCACCTCGAAGGCTGACAGGGGTGATGGTTCGTTCTCCGGCTGGCTCCACCTCCCCAGGCGGGGATTATTCCCTCGGAGATCTGTCCCAGCCCGCTGGGGATGAGGCCAGTCCAGGGGTAAGGATCCTTTTCTGGGGAGGAGGAAAAGCCCAGCTTGGGACATGGGGCTCTGCATCCATCACGGTTCAGAAGGGGCCTGGGGAGAAGCCCTTGCCTTGCTTTGCAGCCTTCAGGTGCTGTAGTGTGGCTGGTGACAGTGCTGCTCAAGATCCATGTCCTCTTCCCTGTCTCTGGTGATCCAGTGACTGGATCAAAGACCGTGTAGGGGCATCAGTGGGTTGGCCAGGCAGTCTGTGAGTGCCTGGGAAATGGCTCTGCAGGGCAGGGAAAGGGTGAAAGCACATGCCTGGAGTAGGGGCAGTGAGTGAATGGAGTAGGTGTCTGTGGTGTGCTGGATCAATGCTCTTGGGGGAAGCAGCAAGTGGGGCTGGTCCGTGTGGTGGAGTGTGGCTTTGAACAGTGTGGTTTTTCTCTTTCTCAGGTCACGCCAGGGACATTGCCCAGCACCCCAGTTGCCTCCTTCATTGGAATCCCTGACACCCCTCCAGGCTCTGCTCCCCTGGATGCCCCCATGACCCCAGTCACTGATGATTCACCCCAGAAAAAGATGCTAGGACAAAAAGCAACTCCGCCTCCTTCCCCTCTGCTCTCAGAGCTGCTGAAGAAGGGCAGTCTCCTGCCCACAAGCCCCAGGCTGGTATGGAGCTCTCTGCTCATATATGCAAGCACACAAACAATTTGCTCCAGATTCTCCCACTGTAAAAGGGGGATCTGCAAAGAATTTTTAAAAATGTGCAGTTTTGTGAGAGTCCCAGCAGAAGTGATAATCTGAGAGGTATAAATACCCCTGTGAGCTGCAGAGGTGAGCCCCTTTCCCAGCAGGACTGCAGGGCTCATGCAGCACGTAGGACTGGCTGTACCCTCAGTCATAAGGAGTTGGAGTTGCCAGGTTTGCTAGAGGAAATAGTTCTCCTCAGGGAAGGGAACTTGTTAGTCAGCATCATCCCCATCAGCCTCCATGGTGTTCCTGGTGATTCCTACACTGGGCTCACAGTTCTTTACACCTTGTCAGGAAGTCCTGTTTCAATATTTTTCATGTGTACAAGAGTAGGGAATCCTTGAATGGCACTTATGACCTATACAGACGTGCTTCAATTCTCTCCTAATTGTAGACAGTTACTAAAATCACTGTGATGAGAACCCACTTGTGGTGTTAGTGACTTGTTCAGAGCCCAGTCTGACAACAGCAGCCATCAGCCTGCTTGTGACACAGATTCCCTGGGTTATTGCTTGTGTGATGGAGTAGGTGTGTTGCTGTTGACTTTTTCTTCATAGTAGTCAGATTTGGGGTTTTTTTCTATTTGTTAGCTGGGGTAAATGTTCCATGAATTTTGTGTCTGCAGGATGTAACATAAAGTGAAGCAAGGAATGGTAATGGCTGTGGAAGACTGAGTTTTCTTTGTAGAACAGGACTGGTTGCATCTGTTTCAAGGTCCTTCATAGGTTCACTTGAGCAAGTTACTTTCCATCTTGGTACTTCTGCTTCTCTTAACCCAAAACAAGGAATATTTCTGTGCCATCTTAGGGTCTAGAGAGACTTATATGTGTAAATGATTGTGAGGTGCTTGAACAGAAGAATTGTGATAGAGCAAATGATGCACTTGGCCTCACCTCAAAGGAAGATAGCACTGCAGCTGTGTTACAGCTGAAGAACAGCAACAGTTTCAGACTGTCATGTTCTGCACTTGTGTGAGGGGTCTCAGGCAGGGACTAACCTGAATAAAAACTGCAGAAGAAATGCTGGGACACCAGATGCTGGTCCTGTTCATGGAGGTGCACATCTGGCAGAGAATCACTGGTGTGGTGGTATCTCCAGGAACTTGAGTCTCGTCCTCCTTTGACAGGTTGGTGAAAACGAAATGGCAGTGGCTTCTGGTCACATGAACAGCTCTGGAGTCCTGCTGGAGGTAGGAAGTGTCCTTCCAGTGCTGCACAGTGGGGAAATGCAGTCAGCACCTGGTGCTGTCCCTGCATCTCCAGCTGCTTCAGGTAACTTAGACCTCTCCCTGTACAGTTCTCCCTTAAGATGTACCTTCAGACTGTTCTGTGCATTTTCTTGCGGGAAGGATGTCTACCTGGCTGGTTTGGGGGCTTCTCTATCAGTTGTATTCCTATTTCTGTAGCACTGTGCATCTCACCTCTACTTTTTAAGAAGACCCAATCCTTAAGAGTGACTGAAACAATTTGGCTTGATTCAGTCCTGATTCATGCAGTCTGGTGTTCTGGGTTTGGCACTGGCTAATACCAGGCATATGAGTGTAGAAAGAAAGGGTTTGTTCACAGGGAGTTGGGGAAAAAACAGTCTAGATCTGATTCCCAACATGTCAAATGCAGCTGCCTGTGGATCTGGAGAACTCACGTGCCTTCCCTCTGCTGTATCTTAGAGATCTGTTAAGAGTTAGACCACTGAGCTCCAGAGGAAGTTCCACAGAGTGGGGGTGAGGGGAACAGTGCAAGACTCTGCACTGGGCTTTTTCAGAACAACCTGCCTAAGGAAGTTTTTTTTTTTCTCAGCTCCTGCTGACCAGTTATTTAATCATATTGTCTGCAACTGAAAATTTATATCATTCATTCATACAGAATTCCATACAAATAATCTTGCTTTCCTTATCCAAATCTGGGTTTTTAAGACCTGTTGCTTTGGTCCAGACAGTTCAGTAAATTCAGACTGGAAGTTATAGCTAAGATGAATGGCAACCTTTGATATAAGAGGAATTCTCCAGGAAAAAACTGCAAGGAAATCCCCTCCACTCCCCCCCAGCTCCTGTGGTGACTGTTTGTCTTGGCTTACCTTGTGTGGCTCTCTCAGCACTGTTTTTCAGATTTCCATTATTATTTTGGGATGAGCCTTTGGAAGGGCATCTCTGTGCATGTGTGGCTTAGTCTGTCCAGCCCTTGCAGTGAGTGCAGTGTTCTGTAGCTGCATGATTCTGCCTCAGACTGCACACACAATGGGAGTTGTGCATTTTTTTGGTGCAGGTTCTCTGTACAGCTTTTGGGACTATAGGTATCTCTCCATGTCTTTTCCCAGAAGAAGCCACCAGCCAGTGAAGAGCCCAGTGGTGGCTTTGTGGGCTTCAGTGGTGGCTGCTTCTTGCTCATGTGCTTTTTCCCTTCTACTCTCTGTTAGGTGCTCCTACGCTTTCCCGGCTTTTAGAAGCTGGTCCTGCACAGTTCACCTCACCTCTTGCTTCCTTCTCCGCTGTTGCCAGCGAGCCTCCAGCTAAGCTCCTGCCACCCCCCGTAGAGCCTGTGTCCCAGGCCACTATTGTCATGATGCCCACGCTGTCAGCACCAGCCGTTGTGCCACCAGCTGCAGCTGCAGAAAGCGTAGCCACAGGTGCGTCCCTAACTACGCACTCAGAGGTCACGTCCACAACTTCCCCTGGGATCAGCGCCCTGCGAGCTCTCAGCTGGGTCTTATCACCTCAGACTGGCCATCCTGGCCAAAAAGGATGGTTATGGCTGGGTTCTGGAGTGAGCAGATGGTTTTAAACAGGGTTTGCTGGGTGGGGGTGCTGGTGATTTGCTGGACAGCGGTTCAAGGGCTGGAATCTCACCTTTGTCTCTGCTGTGGGAAGGCAAACCAGTATTTGTCTTTTATTTACCTAAGTTGTGGTGGGGTGGATGGGCCTGGGATACTTGTGGTTGGTGCTTGGTCTTACCCACTGCAGTGTTTGTTTATGTGGGGACTTCTCCAGCTTGGTCTCTGACTGTCCCTCTCATCCTTGTGCAGTGAGCCAGCCAGAAGCCTGTGTTTCCATGGAGGCAGTGTCTGATTCCCATACTGTGACAGTGTCTATGGACAGCAGTGAAATATCAATGATCATTGATTCCATCAAGAAAGAGTGTCTGGGTTCTGGGGCTGGCAGCACTGCAGGATCTTCCAAAGATCACTGCATGGATGGGAAAGAAGATCTGGATTTGGCTGAAAAAATGGATATTGCAGTGTCCTATACGGGGGAAGAGCTGGACTTTGATACGGTTGGAAATATTATAGCCATCATTGAGGACAAGGTAAATGGGGAAAGCAGAGTGCTAGTGCCTTTTGCTCCACATTCAGCTGGGTTAATCTCAAATGATTGCTGTTCACCAGTTTAGTTTAAACAAGCAAGAAATAACTATTCCAGAATGCACATTCTCACCATCATTTTCCACATCAAGAGGAAAGGACACCATTTCTGCCTGTCTGACACTGGTAGTCCTTTTCAGAGTACAGAAGGAAATGTCTTTCTTCCTTGGAGGGTGGGGTTTGGGTCATGTCTCTGGCAGATAGATGAGCACTGCTCACAGGATCCTTTCCAGGAGTGCCATATTTCTGAAATTGAAACTTCAGGAGAAACTCTCACAGGGTGCGATACAAATTTGGCTACAAAAAGGCAACTTTGTAAACAGAGTAGACTGGGATTTCCACAATTGTATCAGTACCAAATAACCTGAACTTTTCTTTATTCCTCTTTCTGACCTCGGCCTGCCCTGCTGTGTGTTTGTTTTGACAATAAAGGTAGACGACCACCCTGAAGTCCTGGATGCAGCAGTTGTTGAAGCTGCTCTGTCTTCTTTCTGTGAAGATACTGATGACCCTCAGACCCTTCCTGGCCCATGGGAACATTCAATTCGTCAGGAGCATGAGAAACAGGCCCAGATGCCACAAGTGTCTGTGACTGTGAAGCAGGAGAGACTGGAGTGTGAGGAGCCAGAGGCAAAGGGAATTCGAGACCTAATGGGCATCAGTGAGCTGGGGTCAGAAATAAAGACTGAACTTGCAGAGCAGGACCAGAATCAGCTGGGCCCTGAAGAAACCATACCAGCAACTGCAAGAGTGACAGAAACACCAGAGCTTAGAAACCAAGAGATAGAAGAAGATCAAAGAGCAGCTGTAGCATCAGGAGAGACTTCTGAAATCAAGATAGAGTCTTCCCAGGCAGAAGATACAGTGCTCAATCCAGTGAAGACAGAGGTATGTGGTCACAGAAGCTGCCTGGAGCTGGTGTGGGGCAAGAGATGAGCAGTTGTGGCAGGTAGGAGCAAAGTTTAGAGGAAGGATGAGTGCTGGGTTGAAGTGACCCTTCAATGAATGTGACTGACTGTTTTCCTGGGAGTCAGCCTGCTGATGTGCAGAGCAGCTCTGTTTTAGGTGGTACGTTTGTGTATCTTTCCCCACCCATGTGCAGAATTGCTGCTGGGAAGGTGCTCAGTGAACCTCATTGCCTGGAGTTAGGTTAGGGTGAGTGAGATGTGCCCACACCTTCACTGAAGTAAGCTGACACAAACATCTAGATTTGTGCATTTCTCTTCCCTCCAGACCCCACCTGATGATGATTCATCCCCTCCACAAGTCCCAAATGTGAGTGAAGACTCCTCACAGGCTGATGTTCAGCACAAATTTGAGCTGTCAGGTAACTTAATTCAGCTAGGAAATCTTTTACATGAAACATTATTAGCTGGATAGTTGTTAGTTATCTGGTTCAGTTTTTTTGGGGAGGAGGGAGAAAAGATACCTGTAGGAACAGTGGTAATTACTGCAGGACAGTAGGCATTGGTGCAGGAGCTTTTGTAGGAAAGGCCGCTTGGGAGAATCAAGCTTTCTGCATTTCTTTCTTTCACAGAGTCAATGAAGGAGGAAGCCCAAGCCCTGTTTAGGAGTCAGATGAAGGTAATTCCCTGTTGGTTTTAGTCATCTTGAGCTTGTTAGCAACATCTTGCTGCTGCTGTCTGCTGAAAGGCAAAGCTTGTGTTCAGCCTTCTGCACTGGGAAGTGAGCAGTCTGCAGCTGAAGGGGAGATTGCTTCAGAATGTAAAGGTGTTTGTGTATGTGCTTTGGGTCTGTGGGGACAAGCAGGGAAGGCTGGAGAGACTGGGATTTTGTGGAAGTGCCTGTACAGTTGTCAACAGCCTCAGAAGAAAATCACTTTGCTCACAGAACCGTAGTTGCTTTGGAGGCGCTGAGTGACTGCCGTAGCTGGCTGTGCCAGCTGATGGACTCTGTGTTTCAGGATGGGCAGGGTGAGGAGGATGATGAGGACGGTGCCAGTGAGGCTGCCAGTTTGGAGGAACCCAAAGAAGAAGACCAGGGTGAGGGGTATCTCTCAGAGATGGATAACGAGCCCCCAGTGAGCGAGAGCGACGACGGCTTCAGCGTCCACAACGCGCCCTTGCAGTCGCACACGCTCGCCGACTCCATCCCCAGCAGCCCGGCCTCCTCGCAGTTGTGAGTGTCAGGGCACACAGGGACTGGAGGATTCCCATTTCTGCATTGCTGAGTGGGTCCTAAGGGAGAATTTGTTGATGGTTGGTTTGGTTCTTGCTTACAAGGGCTAGTGTGCAGACAGCACTCCAGTACCAGCTCTCACTTTTTGCTTCTGTCTTTGGTGTGGATTAGCATGGGCATGTCAAGGACAAAACAAACCATGAGTTTTCTGCTCTGTGGCAGTGATCAGACTCCTGAAGGAATTATGTTCTTCTCTTCCCAGCTCAGTGTGCAGTGAAGACCAGGAAGCGATACAGGCTCAGAAGATCTGGAAGAAAGCCATCATGCTGGTTTGGAGAGCAGCAGCTAATCACAGGTAAGTTTGATGTCTTGGCAGAAAGAAGTGACTAATCCTAGACAAGTCTCCACTCTCCCATCTCAGAGGCTTATCTCTCTTGGGAGAGGATGACTCATACACAGACAAATGAACAGGAGAGCATGAAACAAATATTTACCAGCAAAGACAAACACTGAGTGGACTCTTTTTCTGTGCAGGTATGCCAATGTCTTCTTGCAGCCTGTAACAGATGACATAGCACCAGGCTACCACAGCATCGTGCAGAGGTGAGTCTCAGCAGTCTTCTGTGATTAGAACTTTGTATGTTTGCCTGTTTGTAGGAATTTCTGGCAGAAACAATGTCGTTTTTGCCTGCTGTGCAGACTTGGAAAAGTGTTCTTCTGATGTGATTCAGTCGGAAGCTGGTTTCCCCAAGAACTGTCATCATCAGTAACAGGCACATGTCTGTACACAGTCCTGACTGAGTGAAGTACACTGACTTACACAGAGCATTTTATGAGGAAGGTGAAACTGGTCTGTTTCCCCCAGTTTCTATCCAAGAGTAGGATTCAACCTTTGGAATTCCTAGAAGCTGTTCCTTAATCAGTATTTTTTACTGTCCCAGATGGTGGGCTTTTCTGGAAGAATTACCAGAATCCCTTACTAGCTGCTGAAATCTCTTGTAAACAGTTCAAGCTTAGTGGCTGCAGCTCTAGCTCCTTAGTTTCTCTTGTCAGTGGTGCCGGGAGAAGGCAGATACCTCTCCTGAGGGATCTCTGAGGCTGTTGTTACTATTCCAGGTAACTGCTGGACACCTTGGGTCTTCTGACCCAGGCCTTGGTACTGGGGAGCACAGCCCGTGGGGGAGAACCTGTTCAGCTGAATAAAACAGACACTGTAACTAAACACATTACAGAGCCAGGGCTGTTTCCAAAGGAAATGGGAAAGAGTTAAGCATTTCTGTTACAATTTTCCCTGCATTTCTTTCACAGGCCAATGGATTTATCTACCATCAAAAAGAACATTGAGAACGGGCTGATCCGAACCACAGCCGAGTTCCAGCGGGATATTATGCTGATGTTTCAGAATGCAGTGATGTACAACAGCTCTGACCATGATGTGTACCACATGGCTGTGGAGATGCAGAGAGATGTCCTGGAGCAGATCCAGGTAAAGTGCTGAGCTGAGGCCAGTGCAGGACAGAGCATCTGCCTTGGTCCATAGGTCTGGCTGCAAGACCAGTTTCTCCCAGTGTGTTTAAATGCAGTGGGTCCTGTCCTTCCCTGCTTCTTTCTCATGGTAGCTCAGGTGTTTGTGTTGAACTGGATTGTGTGTGAGTTAAAAGTAATGCAGCAATTTTTTTTTTATATGTTCATCCCTAGACCAATTTCAAATGTAATTTCCTTCAGGGAAATGCTTAGGCCAGCAAGAACCAGGGTGTGGTTCAGGAACAGAAACAAGTAACAAGAACGGTGAATGACATGGGACGCCGCGGCTTCTTTGGGTGGCTGTGCTGGTTTATGTTGATACAAAGTGTACATGAAACTGCCCTGTGAATTTGTGCTATTTAAAATACCCTTTGAAGCAGAATGTCCCAGCTGGCAGGGCTGAGTTTGAATTGGGGTTTTACAGTTCCTCAGGACTTGTGGCTTCTGAGGTAAATTGGGGAACTTATTCTGAGCAGCACACAAGGAACTGAAACTGCCTCTGACCCAATCATCCCCAGCCTGTGGTCTGTGATAGATAACTGACATGCACTTACTGAGCTCGTTTTGCTTGATAATCTTAACAGAGTGTGGTTTCCTTGCAGCAATTTCTGGCCACACAACTGATGATGCAAACATCAGAGTCAGGGATCAGTGCAAAGAGCCTGCGGGGGCGAGACTCCACTCGCAAGCAGGATGCTTCAGAGAAGGTGAGAATGCTGCACCCTGTGCCAGGGCACTTGGGATCTTCTGAAGAATCCCAAGATACTGCGTGAAGTTCCCACACCAAGGAGGCAAAAGTTCCCACACAAGCATCTTCATGTGAACAACTTTTCTTTAAATGTGTGTATTGATTGTATTTCAGTTCTGGAACTATACAGCATTCCAGAGGGAGGTCTCATGAGTTTTTCTGTAATCCAAATACTTCTATTACCTGGTTTTAAAAACAGGTGATAAAAACTGTAGGGAAATGAACAGTATTGGAAGAGGTGTGAATACTCTCAGGCACATGGTGTGACTTTTGGGGATGGACCTGCAGGGCAGGGAGTTGGACTCAGTGATCCTTGTGGTTCCCCTCCAACTTCACAGATTCTGTGGTTCTATGGCATGGCAGAAAGGTGAAGGGAATTGCCATATCCTTCACTTTCTAGTCAGGCTTGTAGAACTAGAGAATCAGTCACCTCTGGTTTGCTGTGTAAAATACACCAGAGAACCTTTGAATTCCACACTGATCTAAGCAATGAAGATTTGTGGGTTTTTCTTCCATAAAGACACATGCAAACTTGATGAAGTGATCTTAGTTGCTCTGGTGAACACAACACTGTGACAGCAGGGGCTGCCTGCTTAGTTCTAGCGACAGCTGCACCGAGCAGGAATTGTTTGGTAGACCAGGAAAACTTGCTGTGGCTGTGGAGGGAATATCCCTTTCCTGACATTCTGGCTCTCGCAGTATCCCTCTTTTTGTCTGTTTTTATGTTCCTGCTGCATAAGACTGACGCCCTGCAGGAAGGGGAGTGGGGCACATGTTCCTCTATGCTCACGTGTGGGCTCAGTGCTTCTGTGTGGTGTGTGCATTTCCGTAGCTGATGCCTGATAAGTCCTTCTGTTTGGCCTTTTAACAGGACAGTGTCCCAATGGGCTCTCCTGCCTTCCTTCTCTCTCTCTTTGTAAGTATTGAAAGGCTCCAGCAGGTTCTGCAGTACTGCTGCCAGGTGCTCTGCTCCTTGTCTGGGTGGTCACTGCACTGTCACAGCATCCTTAGCACTGCAGCAGGGTGTGTTTGACTTGGGGGCTGCACCACTGTGATCTGAGAAGAGACATCTCAGTCCCTTATTCTCAAAATGGGTGAGCGGGTGGGGCTTCAGTCTTTTCTTCTGGTTCCAAGTGTTTTTTGCCATCTGCTTTTGCTTTTTTCCATGACTTCTCTCCTGCTCTCTTTCCATGTAAGTGGGAAGACAAACCAAGTGGTGCTGTAGTTCCTACATCTCTCATGTTTATACAGCTGCCCCTTCAACACATCTGAGGCAGTACAAAAGGTCTTGGGAGAGTGAGGAGTCAGCTGTGTGTCCTTTATCCGTTCCTGGTTCAGAAAGCAAATAAGACTCTGCAGAAATATCTTGCTCTGTGCCCGTGGTGATCTGGAAGTGTTTGGAAAAATACTCCCTCTGGGAAACCCCAAGTCTCTGAGTTACTGTGAGGAGAGAGTGGAGGAAGATGGAGAGCTGTCCTTATCTCTCGCATGTATCTAAAGACAGAGGAGTACTCCAGGAAAGGCAGCAGATCAGCCAGAGAGAGGATCAGAGGAAGCTCTCAGCTCACCTGCTCGTGGAAAGGAGCTGTGTGGAGGATCTAGGGAGCTAGTGCCAGGGTCACTCAGCTGGAGGAGCACTTCCCATAGGGATCAGCAGCTGATAAGGTAGGTTAGTCAGCAGTTTTCCTTTTCCCACCTTAAGCTAGAATCTGCTGCTCAGGAGAAAACCTGCACTGTCCAGGCTCCAAAAGCATCTGTCTGGGCCAGAGATGTTGCCTCTCTGTCCTGGCTCCAGCAGTGCAGCGATGCTGCCAAGCCCAGCACCCTGCTGTGTCCAGATCCAACTTAAGTTAGGTCTGCAGGCAGGCCTTGGCAGGGACACTTCCCTTTCTCCTGATGGGAAGGCGTGAAAAGTTGTTGCCAGATACAGATACAGAATTCCTTCCCTCCCTCCCTCCCTCCCTCCCGTGGTGCGCGTTCCCGTGGCGTTGTGTAACTCTGTTTACCTTGTGAGCAGGACGGAGGCACCAGAGGGCGGCGCTGCGCCATCGAGGCAGACATGAAGATGAAGAAATGATGCTGCAGACACAAAATCCCAGCAGAATCCCAGGCATCCGGAGCCGGAGCACAAGCAGGCAACTCTTAACAGCTGCTGGAGGAGGAGGAAAAGCTGCAGGTCCATTTCTGACCTGGTTCACCACCTCGCTTGCCCTTCTGGAAAGCAGTGTCTTGTCAGAATGTGTAACCCAAAGAAACTTCCCTAGAGGGGAAGACCAGCCCCCCTGCCTGTTTTAGGGCAGTCATCTTGGGCTTCACACATCAGTGTTCTGGTGTTAGCTAGCAACTGGTGGCTCGTACGTACTGTAATGTGAAGTGTACAGATTTTTACTAGTGATGTGTAAATGTGATGTATATTAAAATCTGGGAACAAACCCGTGTGCAGTGTGCTGAGCATCACAGCTCTGCAGGGAGGACCCCTGTGGTACAAGCCTGGATCCCCACCTGGAATATCTGCAAATACAATTCTTTTCCAGTTATCCCTATAGAACACATGCATGGCAGAGCTCTGATGTTAGAGACAATCCATAAATCACAGGAATGCTGCACAATGTTTGGATGGAGAGGAAGATTCCCTGCTTGAGTGTGAGGATACGGCACCACTGTAGTGACACTGGAGATCAAACTATGAGAAGTTAAATACTGCAGTCTTGTTGGAGCTTTCCTTAGGAGAAAATGCATTGAAAAGGACTTGACATTCTTTCCCCAGAGAGCTGGGGAGGCTGCACTAGTCAGAGTTAAAATCTGTGATCCCAGCACCCGTAGGCAGGATTGCCAGTACCTGGTTTCAGATCTGAGCATCTGCCCTGTTCCTACTGGGAATTACAGTCCTTTTCCTCAGCATCATGAAGGTTTGAGTTCTCTGCGAGAAGTTCCAAATCACTTTTTCTGCTCATATGACCCGAGATGAAACTTGCATGTTTTCTGCCCACACAACCTCTCCTGGGGGAAAAGAAAACAACAGAATGACACCATCCTTGATTGCTGCAGCAGCTGGGAGTGCTCTCCACTCCGTGCAGCATATCCAGGGTGCAGCTTTCTGGTAGATAGGTTTCAGGAAACTGAGTCACTGGGATTAAGACCAGAGGCATTGTTCCCTTATCCAGTAAGAGCTCTCAATTTTCACAAGTTCAGTGTTGAAGTTGGCCATGCCTGCTGTGTCAAGTCTTGTGTATTGCTGAAGTGAATTTTCACCAAGAGTCACCTTACTGATGAGGAAATGCTGAAACTCCCTTGGATTGGTTAATTGTATTTCACTGTAAACCCAGGAACAAATATCTGGTTTGAATTTTTATTGTTCTCAGCACAAAAAGTTACAGGGGTCTTTGTCTTTCATGCATTTTATGGAGTGGTTTCAGTTAGGTACAAACATTTTAGCATTGCCTGTTGTGACAGGACAAGGTAATGGTTCTAAACTAAAAGAGGGCCTATTTAGACTGAAGATTTTTTTTTTTTTTTTTTTTTTTTACAATGAGAGGGGTGAGGCCCTGGCACTGGTTACCCAGAGAAGCTGTGGAGAAGCCTTCATCCCTGGAAGTGTTGAAGGCCAAGTTGGATAAGGCTCTGAGCAACTTGGAATAGTGGAAGGTGTCCCTGCCCATGGCAAGGAGGCTGGACCCAGGCAGCCTTTAAAGCTCCCTCCCAACCCAACCTGTTCCATGATTATAAGCTGGAAAAAACCTCTGTGCTGCTCAGAGCAGAGCCAGCCTCAAATATTTGCCTTATACCCAGTCAGAATCTCCTGTGATGCAACTTGTCATCCCTGTCTCCTTTCACTGTTGGGCTCTGAGTCTGGCTCCATCTCTGTAACCTCTGCCCTGGCACTGTCTCTGCTGGAAAACTGAAGGTGCAGCACAGGAGACCTTTATCAGACCCTCTGGTAACTTCCTTTTACCATAGCAAGCATTGCTGTTCCTTCCTACCCTTGGTTTCTTCTCCTAACCAGGTATTTTTCTCTCAGCCTTTTCTCTTGTCCCATGACATTTTAATAGTCTTTAATGATGTTTAAGAGCTTTAAAATTCCAAGCTAGGATTTTCTCTACAGAGCCTCGTTCCCTCTTTCCCAGTTTATCATCTCATGCTCTGACTACTTATTCTCTTCTTCCTAATACTTTGTTCTAATCTGTCTAGTACAGAGCTGATGTTTTATTGTGCTACATCTCCCAGCACCCACCCTTTTACAGACAGATAAAACTGTCACCCCTTTCTGGTTTTCTTCTTAAATGACAAGTTACACAGCATAGACTCAGTCATGTTATATTTAAGCTTCTTTAGGGCTCACAAATGAATCCCAGTGGGTTCTGAGGTTTATTCACTCACTCAAATTGTTCTAAAATCTCCCCTGTTGACATTTTAATTAGATATTGTCTCTCAGACCCATCCCAAGAGAAGGTCTCCTGTGAGTTCCTCTGTGGCAACTGCTGATAATGATGATTAATTTGGTTTTTCCAACTGGCCCTATTTTCCACTGAGATATTTGGCACTGATCATGTGTCATCCCCACTGATCATTGGCAGCTCTCTGCTTCTGATGTTTTTGATGAGGTTTTTTGTTTTTATTTGCTTTTATGTTTTTAGCAAATTGTTCTCTTTTTCCTTTTTTTTTTTTTTTTTTTTTTTTTTTTTTTTTTGCCTACTTTATGTGGATTCTACATTTCATTTTTTTCTGTTCAGGCTTTTATCATTTTTCTTGTTTTGACATGTAAGTTCTTTTTAAAGCCTGTCTTTCTGATTTCTAACAGCTTTTTCCCAGAACAGCAAGGGTTGTGCAGTGTCTGATCTCTGCAAAGTGAACTAAAACTTCCCAATTTGAGAGAGGTTCCTTGCTAGTGACTTACATAGCCAACATAATTAAGATCTGTCAGGCAATTCTTAATTAAAAGTTCAAGTCTGTGTCATTTTGTCCAGAATTGGTGTAGAGCTGAGCTGTCTGTGATTATTTCACTCATCATGTCTTGCATTAACACTGCTGTCCTGCTCTCTGGCATCTTGAGTCTTCCAAGATTTGGTAACACTGAACATAAGGCTGAAGATCTCTTTAATCCTATGCCCAAGTTCCCAGGACTTCCTGATTTTCAGCATTTATCCCTCTGGAGCACAGAAGGAGGATCACAAGTGATCAGATTACCCCAGGCTGAGGCTCTTCTGTGCCTCTGCATGTGGCAGCTCTGCTGAGGCTGCAGGAGAGAGCTCCAGGCACAGGGTTTCTCCTCAGATGGAATCTCAGTTTGCCCAACTCCCTCACCTGGAAGCTGAGAGTAGGTAATGTTATCTCCTACCTCATCAAATTTCATCTGCTGCTACTGAAGTGAACTTTGAAAGAGGTTTCAGAAGGACAGGCTTCCAGATCCCAACTCTGCTTGCAAGTTCACAAAATAAGCAAAGCAGTGTTCTCATCCCAGACCCAGTGGATTCTGTATTTCTCCCAGTTATGCACCAGAAGCTGAATTTGGAGCTGTGCTAGGAATCCTGAGAATGGAAAAGCCAATCAGTGAGAACTATACTTGTTCAAAACTCTGAAAAAATCAGGTTGTACATAATTAACTGAAGACTCTAAAGACAGTGTTAATTAATGCATAGAATTCTCCGTAGGTGCAGCATCCAGGCAGCTCCATTCAGTGGCAAGATGCAGATTTTGTGACATCCTTTACTGTTGTACTGTGACTCTGCAATCAATTCCCCAGGCTTAGAGGACTCAAGAGTGCACTCATGCAGCAGAAGACATTTAGGCATGGACTAATGAACAGAGATTAAATGAGTGGTTTCTTCCTTCATAAGAGAATGCAAGCTTTTATTCTCTGCAGTGGATAGAACTGTGCTTGTTGGTGTGTGACTGTGTGGTTATAATTCTTCTGGCTCAGGTACATGAGATATCACCATCCGTATAAATCACACCTGCCACTTTCAAAACTGTGTATGTAAGGTCGTTAAAGTAAGTTATCTCCAGTATAAAAAGTTCTCAAGGGGCAACAAGTGGAATTTCAGTGAGTTGTCCTTGGAGTCACCAGTTGTTCCCAACACTCAGCAGCTGAGGAGCCCCAGCAGGGCTCAGTCTGAGCTTGCTGGATGCCTTCAGCACCTGAAATATGGAACATCAGCAAAGCCATGTGCTTCCAGACAGCTCAGCACGCCCTGAGCAGAGTGATCCACTGACCAGGGCAGGGAGAGGGCACAGCAAAAGCACCAGAAAACCTGAAATTCAGTTGCTCTGAAGCAGCAGTTTGTGCTGCAGATCTGCAGCCCTGCCATGTGCTGTGTGATGAGCTCAGGGGCAGGCTGCTCACCTCAGAGTCCTTCCCATGCTGTGGCCTTCCTAGCGTGTCAAGAAATGAGGTGAGCTTGTCAGTTCTGGATCAGGGTACAAAGAAATTGCTGTATTTTCACTGTTTGCAGATGGGCCATGTCTGGAAGTCTGAGTTGGAATCTCCCGTCGAGTCAGAAAACAGTGATTTCCAGTCTCTTCCTGACTGGGATTCAAGCTTGGATCTGGATGTGACAAACTGGAGAAATACTGAAGAGGAGGCCATGGGGAAGCTAGAGGGGAGCAGCCCAGAGGCAGACCATGAGATGGAGCTGAGTGAGCCTCTCTGGAAGAATGATAGTGAAGATGACCACGAGGCAGAGAAGCCAAGTGAAAGTGACAGTCTTTTCCAGTTGCTCTTGGAGGTAGGGCTGTTTGGATTACAGGAAGGTGGGCAGCATAGTTCAGGCTCTCCTGAAACCATGGGGTTTTCAGGGCCTGCACCACCCATACCAACAGAAACAGTCTGAGAGCACAGCAGAAGCTCTGGGTTCACTTTCTCCCCAGCCCAAGTCCAGCCTTTCCTCCCATTTGGAGCTCCCACTGCACCCAGGCAGCTGTTTTGCCAAAACACTGCTCACCCTTAAGCACAGAAATGTCAGAGAACTGACACTGTAATAATAACACAGGGCTTCATCAGATTTTGCAAGGATTCCTAAAAATGGAAAGGCATTCGTGAGTGATTGCAAAAATAGCATCTTTGCTGTTTATTTCTTCTCCCTTTTGCCTTCACAATTTGAAGTAATAAATCACTGTCTTGCAGGTAACCCAGATGCTGGAATCTTTCTGCATTGGCAGCACAGAGTCATCGCAGACTCCGTGGGATTATTGTGGCTCGGGGAAGCAGAGTGATGGGGAAGAAGAGAAGTGCCAGGAAAAGACCACAGGAACAGCAGTCTCAGGAGCAGAGGGAGCTCAACTGCACATCCTGGCAAAAGATGAGGAAGAACACTTCCTGGGAAGAGAGGTAAGAGAGTGGTGGTCCTAAAAGAGCCTCTGGCCCTGGATAAGAGATGAGACAGTGAAGGAAACCAGCCCTAGAAGAGATGGGAAGCCCCAGGTTCTGTGAGGGGAGACAAAATACACAGGAGAACACAGAAAAAAATGTATGAGGGAAGGGTGTTTTTTATGTATGGCTGTGTATCTTTATAAACAGGAAGCTTGTTACAGATGAAACCCTCAGATGTGAGTTGGAGGAATTGCTCCTTGGCAGTGTAAAGGTGACTCATGAGAGCTGGCAGGCTGCTCTCAGGTTTAAGGCAAGGTTGGAATACTTGCCTGGTTCTAATTGCTGTGTTTTGCAGCACAGCTTGGCTGGTTTCAGGCCCACGTGGCTGTGCCAGCAATAACCATCTGCCCCTGGGGACTGTCATGTCTTAGAAGCAGGCACTGTCTAGCCTGGGTTTGCATCAGTCTTGTGTTTGGGGGCTGTGGGCTCCCACCAGCCTGCTGGGTGTTCCTGGGAAATCAACACAGCAGTGGAGGAACAGGGCCATTTTTCCACACTTGTTCTCTTGCAAACTCAGGACATTGGAAACAAATAACCAGGATTTTACCTGTTCAGCCAGGACAGTGTGTTCCCAGCAGTTACTCTGTTCTCAACTGCTGTTACTCCCAGCAACTCCCTCCCTGTTCTCCCAGTGGTCACAGCCAAAGACACAGTGTCCCGTTCCTTTCTGAGAAGTCTGCTCATGCTTCAGATCTCGTGAGGATTCTGAGGTGTTCCTGCATGAAATCCCACTGAGCTTTTTACTGGCAAACCACTACAACAGCAGCACCACTCTCCTTCCTGGCTGAGTCTATTCCCTGTCATTTTAACGTGGGAGTTTGTGAAGAAACAACCTTGTTGAACTCTAGGGGTTCCTGTTATCTGTATCTGGAGCTTTACCAAGCCTGAGGCAGTCTTACCTCAGCTCCTGATTGCCCTCTCTACATCCATGACTCTTCCCAGAGAACAGACACAACACTGGGCACCACTCAGCTCCCCAGGGTTTGTGTCAGCCAGGAGTGGATGTCATCCAAGAAATCAGACACAGCTCCTGCTGGGAAGGTCTGAGTGAGGTCAAACAGCATCCTCTGAGTAACAGAGCAGGCAAGCTCCCAGCTGAGCCTGGATGCAGGAAAGGGATATGCAGCAGGCTGGCTTCTAGATAAAGGATTCAGGTAATGTGCTGCCATTTTAGATGTACCCTCTGTGCTCTTCAGGGCAAGACTCAAGAGACACCTGGAGAACTCCCTTTAGATGAGCTGCATCCACCTGAGATGAGTGCTCAGGCCCTGGATCAAGATGACAGCGACAGCACCTCTGCAGCCTCAGTTCTGGACTCGACAGGCTCTCCCAACATGCACCTGTAAGTAGCTGGTTCTGCACTCTTGCAAATGCAGCAGAACAGAGTCTTTCCCTTGTCACACGTGAGAACAAGTGCATGGCACAGGTCACATCCAGGAAGGTGAGATAGCCAAGCAGAGCAGGAGGGAAGGAGGTAACTTGTGTATTTCTGGGTTTGCTGGCTTTATAGGGCATTGATCCTAAGATGAAGTGAGAAGAGTAAAGATTAAGTAAGAGATTGTATGGCAAACATGTTTTATGTTTTCTCAAGTCAAATAAGGCTGGTGTGAGCTGCACATCAGGCTCTGTCAGGCAATGCACAGCCCAGTACTACCAACACCTTTGAGCAGGTGCAGGTGTGTCACATGCAGGCTCTGCCACATGTGTGATAACCTGCACTGCCTTTCAAAGGAAAAATGTGGGATTTTGGGAATAGAAACTTCATGAAAACCACCTCAGTATAGTTCTGAACTGCAGAGCACGTTAGGTTTTCTATCCAATTTGGTCCTTCTCCTTATCTCAGCTTTGCTTTTACCTCTTGTCCTGCATCTTCCTGCACTCTGGATGTTCAGTTGCAGAACACTCCCACCATCACACTCCGGGGCTTTTTGTAGCTTCATCCACCTGGATGTGGTGAGAGCCAGCAGAATTGTCACCTCCTACTTTGTCTCGAGTGTGATGATCTGGCAGTATCTTCACTCCACAGGCTGCAGCCAAGCTGGAACAAGCCCCTCCAGTACCTGATCCTCAAAAAAAAGCTCCTGTCCATCTGGAGGATGATAGCCAGCCACAGGTATGTGGGAACAGAGGGCTGCATCAGCATGTCCTGAACACACTGTCCTGAGTCCCAGCTCCGGTGTCACCAGTCCCAGCTCCTGTGCCACCAGTCCCAGCTCCTGTGCCACCAGTCCCACCTCCTGTGTCACCAGTCCCACCTCCTGTGCCACCAGTCCCAGCTTCTGTGTCACCAGTCCCACCTCCTGTGTCACCAGTCCCACCTCCGTGCCACCAGTCCCAGCTCCTGTGCCACCAGTCCCAGTCCTCCCCTCCCAGGGGCTGGCCTGTCTCTCCAGGGTTTTGCTTTGGGAACAGCTGCCTGCTGCAGAGCTGGAGAGAACACTGCATATTGATTTCCTCTGCTTTATGTGGCAGAGCCCAAATGCTGCTTCCCACACAGCTGGCACAACTCTGGCTGTGCATCAGGGCCAGCAGGGAGGGGCAAACCCTGCTCCATGTTTTTGGAGCAGGGGCAGGCAGAGAACATTCCTTGTCCTTGTCCCTGTAGGTTCAGCAGCCCATTCCTGAAGCCAGTGTCAGAGAAACAAGCCCCTGGATACAGGGATGTGGTAAAGAGGTGAGTTTGTGGAGGAAGTGTTCACTGGCTGATTTCTCTCAGGTTGTTTTCTGTCTTCTCTGGTTTCCAAAGGGCCAGTGGGATGGTTTCCTCCCTCCTTTTCCAGAGTTTGGCTGTCACCAGCATCTCCCACTGGTGCCTTTCAGTAAAACTCCCTTCTGGGTAATTAGAACCTGGAAGCTTGCACTGACTCTGGAGCTGGTGGGAATTGTGCCTGTCCTGTGCAGGCATTGCATGGCTGGCTCATTGCAGGCACAGTGCCTGGGCAGGGGATCCAGGCCCTGCAGCTCAGCAGTGCCTTCTCCCCATGCCTGGAATGTGCCTCAGGAGATGCCCCTGCCTCACCCGCTGCGAGCGCCCCAGATGTTTCACTCTCAGCACAGAAGTGGGTCATAAGAATATTTCCCAGAGAGATTAATGACATTTTTTCAGAGCTGAATCATGTTCTATTCTGGTCACAGTTGTCCTCTCTGCAGCCATTCATTTTCCCATTCTGTCAAAATAAGGGAAGTAATATTTATTGCCTATCATGTTCCCCTTACCAGCTATTCTATTTTTGCTGGTGGCACCATTCGATCTCTGGGGGGTTTAATAGATACCTATTTTAGTAACTTTTCTTTCTCCATAAGACCTGGACTGACTTCCTGAAGACTAATTACTGCTTGCCTTCTCTGGAGCTCAGCATCCCATTTTTTCCAGAGGTGACTGCTAATGACCTGCCAAGTTGATTGGATAGCAAGTGTCGCATTGGCTGAACTCACTTTTGTCTGGCTTGGAAGAAAAGCCTTTCTTACTCCCCCCTGTGTGTCTTGAGCAATAAAATTGATTGAAAATAGCTGTGCTTTCAGGGCCACCCTGAAATGAGAACAAGCACATACACGCAAATCCCAAAGCATGCCTGGCCCTGGGTTGCAATTTCATTCTTCGCCTCTCTGTCTTTTGCAGACCCATGGATTTAAGCAGCATAAAGAGGAGGTTGTCAAAGGGACACATTCAGTCCGTGATGCAGTTCCAGTGTGACGTGATGCTCATGTTCCAGAACGCCGTGATGTACAACAGCTCCGACCACCACGTGTTTCACGTGGCTGTGGCAATGCAGCGAGAGGTCTTGGAGCAGCTGCAGGTCTTGGCTGAAGCCCTCCTGTTGTTCAGGGACAGGCTGGAATGAGGCATTAGGTAACCAGCCCTGCCTGAGGCCTCTCTCAGCTGGAACAGCATTGGGTCAGGACATCTCCTGAGCTCAGGGGATGTGCTGCCATGGCCTTGGGTAGATCTTTCTCTCCAGTGCTGGCTGTTGGGTTGATGGGTTGATTCAGAGTAGTTTTTGGGAGGGTACCATGTTGGAAGCCTCCATTCTTTTTGGGAAAAGCAGCCATGTAGCCCTGCAGGGAGAAAAATTCCCTGGGATAAAAAGCAAGAGAGAAAATCCTGTGCGTGGCCAGGTGGATGAAGCGGGCACAGCTGCTGAGGGTGGCTTGCTGCACACCGGGCACGGCGGCGTTCCCGTGTTGAGTTTGTTGTGATCTTGTGTTGGGTCGGGTGGGTCCGGCATTACCAGCACTGACCACACCCAATAAAGGCCCGTGTTGAAGCTTGTCCCAGCCTGCCTGACACTGGGTCTGGGACTGGAAGGGGTCCAGAAAGAGAACTGCGACTGCAACTGCAACTGGGACCGCAACTGTGACTGAGACCAGGACTGGAACTGGGACTTGGGGTTGCAACTGGGACTGGATCCAGAAGTGGACTTGGGACTGGGACTGGGGTTGTGACTGGAACTGGGACTGGGACTGGAACTGGGAACATGACTGGGGTTGCAAGTGGAACTGAGACTGGGACTGGGCGTGGATCCAGAACAGGGACTGGGACTGGGGGTCTGGAACTGGAACTGGGACTGGGTCCAGAACTGGGACTGGGGCTGGACCTGGAACTGGGTCCAGAACCGGGACTGGGTCCAGAACTTGGACTGGGACTGGGACTGGGACTGGGACTGGGACTGGGTCCAGAACTTGGACTGGGACTGGGACTGGGACTGGAATTGGGATTGGGACTGGAACTCGGACTGGGGCCGGGGCCGGGAAGGGCGGGGCGGGGCGCGCGGGCGCGGTGGTACAAGCACGGCTCGCCATTGGCCGTCCCGGCTGTCTGTCACTCCAGCGCGGTCGCCGATTGGCTGTCGGCGCGCTCGCGGCGCGTGCCCCGGCAGCGGAAGCGGCCTGGGGCGGCCATGGCGCGGGACAAGCCGGAGGCGGCGGCCGAGGCGGAGGCGACGCCGGAGCTCTCGTACCGGGAGCAGCTCGACTTCCTGAACCCCATCGCGCAGCCGCTCGCGTCCCGCAAGCTCACCCGAAAGCTGCTCAAGTGCATCAGGAAAGGTCCGGCGGCGCCGGCGTGCGGCGGGGGTGGGGAGAGGCCGCTCATGGCGGGGGCGCGGTGCGGCCCCTCACGCTGCGGTTCTCGCTCAGCCCCTCACGCCGTGGTTCTCTTGCAGCCACCAAGCACAAGCAGCTCCGCCGCGGTGTGAAGGAGGTGCAGAAGTTCATCAACAAGGGCGAGAGGGGGTAAGTGCCGCCCCGGCCCCGGCCCCGCGCGGCCCCGAGCCCGGCCGCTGACACGGCTGCCCCTGCAGGATCACGGTGCTGGCCGGAGACACGCTGCCCATCGATGTCTACTGCCACATCCCCATCATGTGCGAGGACAGGAGCCTCCCGTACGCATACGTCCCTTCCAAAACCGTGAGTGCTGGGGCGGGGGAGGAACCGGCCCCGGTGACAGGAAACCCGGTGGGGAGCCCGGGCTGCGACCGGAGCCTTCCCGGGAGGTGCAGCTCCGGTGCCCGAGTAAAGAACTCGGTGTTTGTCCCTGACCAAGGGGCAGGGGGGAGGTGTACGAGTGTTTCACTGTGGAATCACAGAGCTGTATGTCATGATCGAGTTCCTGCAGCAGTCCGGGACAGAGCCAGCACATCTTTTCCAGGCTTCTCTGGGGTGGGGCCAGCTCTTCTGCAGACTTGGGTGGGCAGTCGGTGTCTGGAGCTTCAGCCCCGGTGCAGGCAGCTCTGCAGACCCACTCTGGGGAAGAATAATGGCACATGAGCCAGGTGCCAGTCCTTTCTGCCAGCCCAGCTTGCAGCTTGTGGGAGACAAGCTGGGAAAAAGGTTCATGAGGTTCTCACCTCGGGAGGGGACCTGGCCCCCCATGGCCTCCCTGTGTTCCCTCAGGACCTGGGAGCTGCAGCCGGCTCCAAGCGCCCGACCTGTGTCATCATGATCAAGCCCCACGAGGAGTACCAGGAGGCCTACGACGAGTGCCTGGAGGAGGTGTCGGCCCTTCCCCTGCCGCTGTGAGGAGCCAGGGCCAGGCTGTGCCCTGTGGGCCGAGCTGGGTCCCTGTCCCTCTGCCCGGGGGCCGTACACTGTGTCTGGGGACTCTGCCGAGAGGACTGCTGGGGGGATGCTGAGCACTGTGGGGTGAATAAAGGTGTCTGTGGGTTTGTACAAAGTGTTCCTGGTGCTCAGGGGGAGGGCTAGAGGGGTCCACGACTGGGTTAAAGCACAGCACAGTGGGGGCAGAGGTGAGGCTGCCCCGAAGCCCGCCCGGCCCACTGGACTCACGGCCATGCCCAGCCCGGCCCCACAGCACCCCACTCACCCCCACCCTCATGGCCAGGAGCCCCCCGACCCCGAGGGAAGTAGAGCAGAGGCCAGGAGAGAGAAATGCAGGTTTATTGCAGGAAAGGGGTGCAGAGCTAGGCCTGGCCTTCACGTGGTTTTGTTACACACACAGAGCAGGGCTCTTTCCTTCCAGCGCCTCTGGGCTCCCCAGCTCCCCCTCACCTCCCCTGGAAGAGTGGACCCCAGCCTCTTTCCCAGCTCAGGCACATGCCCCAGTTCTCTCTCTATCCCTGTTCCCCACAGTGTGGCAGAGCACCAGTTCCCATCCCTCCGTGCACAAGGCATTCCCCCATCTCAGCCCGAAGAAACCTGCACCAACCACCTCCATTGCAGAGCAGCTCCACACTGGGGACATGAGAAGTGCCTCTGCTGGGGCAGCCGCCTCCTCCCAGCAGCACCAGAACTCCTCAGGGTTTCCTCTCTGCCTGCCCAGAGGCACCACCAGCCCCCAGGGCCCTGCTGACAATGCAGCCACTGCAAACAGTAGCTGCAACCCCCGCAGCAAGGCCGTGGGGTGGGGGACAGGGCTTAAGCTGCTCCTCACAAGACATTAAGTTACTGGGTTGTAGGAACAGGGGCAGCAGAGCAGGAGGGACAGGGAATGTCTTCACAGGGTGCTTGGTTTCTGCCCCCATGGCAGAAGGAATCACAGGGCAAACACTCCTGGAGTCAGAGCACGGGGCACATGCAAGACCCCCACCCTGGCACAGATGACTCCCCCACCCTCCAGAGACCCCCACCAGAAGGGCCTGAAGTGCTGCAAGAAGGAGAAGCTCCCCTGTGGCAATCGGTCCTTCAGCCCAGGGCAGCGCCGTGCGGGGCCAGTCCTTGTGCACACCCTGAGATTGTCCCACTGCAGCGGCAAGAGACCTTCCCCCTTCTCAGTCCCATGGCATCCCGCCCCTCAGATCTTGGAGGACTCCACCCGCTCGATCCAGGGCGAATCGACCCTGACATCCCTGGGCTCGGCCCGCAGCTGCCGCAGCTCCCGCTCCAGCGCCTGGCTGCGGTGGTACATCTCCATGTAGCTGGCCTGGAGCTCCCGCTGGTACCGCAGCACCTTCTCCTTCTCCTCCTGCCACGTTTTCCTCTCCAGCTCAAAGTTCACAGCCTGCAGCTGGCCCTGACGCCGCTCCCGCAGCAGCTCTGCCCACAGCCACTCCACCTGCCGCTCCAGGGGCTCCGCCGAGTCGCTCTGGAGGCCCCGGCACTTGGAGTCGTCAGTCTCGCAGCCAGGGAAGTCCTGGCACGATGGCATGGGGTCATCGCTCAGAGGCAGGGAGGTGCTGGGCTCCGGGGGGCTCTGGAAGGAGTCTGCCAGCTGTGCCAGCTGGGTGTCCCTGGCCTGGACCTCTGCCTTGGCCTCCCGCAGCTGCGTCTTCAGGCTGAAGATCTCCCCCAGCTTCTGAGCCATCTCCTCCTGGGTGTCCCGCAGCTGCTGCTTCAGCAGGGAGATCTCCGCTGCTTTCTGGCACACCTGCAGGGCACGGGCGAGCAGTGAGGAAGGGCTGGGGGAGCAGGACCCCAGAGGTGGCAGCACCCTGAGCTGTCCTCATGGAGACCATAAGCACCAGATGTGGCTCATCCCTCCCGTACTGTGACCCCGAGTGACACCAGAGCAGGGAACTGCTGTCCCCATCCTGGCCCCACAGCCAGGAGGGTGGCAATAGGGAAGGAAGGAAGGGGACTCACCTCCCACTTGGTCTCCTCCAGTTTGGGGCTGCCATGCTCGCCCTGGGGCTGCCGGAGTTTATTCTCCTCGCACTGGCACTGCTGCAGGCTCAGCTCCTCCTGCAGCCGCTTCTTCTCCTGCTGCGCCTTGTAGAGCTGCAGCTGCAGCGCCCGCTGCCCGCGCTGCGCCTGCTGCATCACCTGCTGCAGCCGGGCCATGTACATCTGCTTCAGGTCCTCCAGCTCATCCAGCCACAGCCGCTGCTTGTCCTCAAACGCCTGCCAGCACAGGTGGACACTGGTGAGAGGCTGCAGCCCCAGGAGGGACCCCAAGAGGTCCCGTGATATTTGATCCTCCCATGCTTGGGCATTCCAAGCCCATCACCCACCACAGCAGCTCCTTCTCTGCTCTTTCCACACCCACATCCCTGCCCAGGGCACCCAGCACTGCCCCAGCCCCACAGCTCACCTGTGTGAAGGGGTCTTCAGTCTCGCTGAGGCTCCTCTTGAGCTGCCGCAGCTCCCCTCCCGTCTCCTGCAGCCGGTCCTCCAGCTGCTTCACCGCGTCCTCCAGCGAGTAGGAGAACTCGTATGGCGGCGGGGGCTCACCGGGGCTCTGCAGCCTGCTCAGGGTGGCCATGCTTTTGCAGGACAGGGGCATCTTCTCAGGGGCCACGGTATCCCTGGGGCTCCGGGAAACCCTGTCCAAGGAGCCCCCGATGTGGTTGATGTGGCCCATGGAGGCGCTGAACTGGCTCTGGGCAGGCTTGAGGCGGGAGCCATAGGATGGGAAGCTCTGGATGGAGTTGTGGCTGGAGTCAGAGGCCTCATCCAGGCTGATGGCGTGGAGCAGGTGGGTGCGGAGCGGGCCATGCTGCGGGGCCGCCGTGCTGCTCTGCGACAGCAGCGTGTGCAGGCTCCCATTGCTCTTGGACAACTTCTGCCCCTTGGACGAGGACAGGCCCTGCATGGAGACCAGCCCCTTCCCAGCCACTGCCTTGAAGGCCGAGGGCCTGATACGACACTGTAAAACAAGAACAAAGTCAAGCATGAGCCTCTACAGCCAGAGAGAACCCCCACATGACAACCCCCCACACTCCCAGCTTCATATCCTCGAACATTCTCAAATCCCACATCCCATCCCGGGGGGGGGGGGTGCAGATCATCCTATTCCATCCCCATCCTCTCGCAGACCAGGCCCTATTTCAGTTCCTCACAGCCTCACCTTGTCAAAGCGGCCCCGCTCCGGCAGGG